AAATTCTTCAGATTTAAATAGATATCAGTTTTATTTTTATATCAGCCAGCTTGTTGGTTAATATTTACAGCTTACAGTACAACAACAGCAGACCAAGATTATGTTTCTTACCTCCACAAAGCGGCATTCAGCCTTTTATCGCTCAAATTAATTATATTTGACAGTGAAACATTTTTATAATGGATATACAATTTAATATGAACTGGGTGATGTCCTAAATCCTGATTTCTACAGGCACCACAACAATAATCTAATAAGAAGGAGAATATAGAGATAATGAGCCATTAGCCACAGTCAATATCATCTCCAGAAGGCCTTGAGTACTCAGGCAGTGTTACAGAGGGAGTTGGAGATCTGTGCCAAGTAAAAGACAAGCTGGAAAGCTCCCCAATCAATGTTTTTTTCTCTCTCTCAGTCCCAGACCAACTGTCTATTCATCTGTTTCTCTCAAAATGAAAGGTGTGCTGGTATGCAACACTTACAGTCGAGAGATCTGTGTCTTAATTAAAACGTTGCAGATTGTGTTTCTCTGGCTGTACAGACAGCATACTGTGCTTTGGAAACAACCTTCCCCACAGTGTCTTGCAGAGAGTAGACGAGGTTAATAAAAGATGGTTTAATGCGGAATTAAAATCTGTGTAGTGGAGCTTTTCGGGAAAAGTGTTTTCTTTATAATTAAACTCGGAGGAATATTAAAAAAAAGACGGAGGAAAAAAGAACTGTTCAAAAATACACAATGTGACACACTATCTAAATTGTTTTGTGTGGATTTTGATTTTAAAGTAGAATTAAGTATATATTACTCAGGTTGCACATAAGGTTTTTTGCTTACAATTTTATTCTGAGCAGTGGCATATGAATTATTTATCTTGCCACAAACCAACTGGGAATGTCCTTGGTATTTACATTTTATCATCAAGGGCGCTGGATGAGGCGTCACAGCAATCTAACACATGACACATCCCCACTCGTCCCTTTTATACAATCAAATGCAGTGGACAAGACCCACTAAAAATGTTTCTGAAGCTCAGACGTTTATTGATAAAGGATGAGATAAAACTATGTTTTGATTAACATGCTTTATGATGACTCAGCATGACTTTTCTTAGATTACCTGTCTCTCTAGCACAACATACGCATGAGCACACAATGGGTAAAACGGGGACACACACGGGACTAACTTCATGCAATGTAAACAGTATTTACAGCAGAGTACTTAATTTCCTTCCAACAATTATTAGGGGAATTGAATCTCAGGAAATGCTCGTTTTCTTGTCCATTAGGCCACACAATAACACCATTCCCAAAGGTTTACAAAAACAACTGTCTATAAAGAACTGTCCAGACATAAATACCAGCTTGATTCCAGGCTATGTTTGCACAAATTAAATCAAATGAAGGCAAAAATCTCTAAATTATGTTTTTTTTTTTTGTCAATAAACTTTTGAAAGTAAGATAAAGGATCTTTATTGCTGGACTTAATAGTACAACTAGTTATGTGCTAAATTCATTTATTTAAATAAAAGACAATTCTGCAGTAATACTAAAAACAAGATAATGTCCATTTATTACATGTTTTACAGTACTGTGGAATTGTTTGTGAAAGTGTTTGTGTAATTTGTCACATTTCAAAGCTTTAGATGATCAAAATGTTCTACTACTAGTAATGATACCCGGGTGATATCTACAAAGCTGTTTTCAAATAATAAAACCTATTATGGGAATTAAGATATCAAAACAAACCTGAACCTGTCTGATTAAGTATTTGTCAACCCCTTTGTTAGATAATGTGACAACAGGCCTTTTCATAACTTGTAGAAACAAAAAGTCATGTTTTCTTATAAAGGAATCAAATGCAGTGCAGAACAATGTCTTAATACACAGAAATATAAATAGCTTTCAATTATAGGCTTGAACAAGAAAAACAGTTAGCTGATAAATGGCTATGGTAATGGAAGGATCCAGTGGAAAACAAAAGGACCAGAAAGGTATATTTACATGGATGCACTGGTAAAGCAATGACAGGTAAACTAGAAGAGCTAATCACAGTAAATAAACTGCAACAGAGACAGAAAAACACTGAATGAGAAATAAATAATTGATGAGGAGGAACAGAACACAAAAAAAACACATTTAAAAAACACATTTAGCTAAATTAAAAAACTCTTGAACCGGAATGAGCAATAAGAATAATAAACTTGTATTAACCAATCATTAACATTAGTATGCATAAAGAAATGGCTAAATAATGCAAGCCCCAAAAGTATTGTGGAGGCTTTTTTTTTTAAAGACCTGCCTTTTCCACGTAAAAAAAAAAAAAAATGTGCGTACAAGAGCAAGAACAAGCCCATTTCTCACCATGCACGCCGTTTAAAATATGCGATTCTAATAGCTCATACCAGCTTACTGTTTCCACATACAGCAGGGATTATATAGTGGACTCTATCAAACTCAGTTAACTGACCGTTCGGTCAAATGATCATTGCTTTTTGCTCCGTTGGTCATGTAACAGCCTTATGTGAACATATCACCAGAATGATTGACAATTAGGAGGACCACTTATTTAGATGATCCACCCAGAAATAAAAGATCGTTCTCTATACCTTTAAATATTAAATAACTTTAGTTCTGCTCTGCTAGACGAAATCCTGAAGAAGAATGTCTGGCCATCATTTTCTGTCTTTTGTGAATTTAAAAATCACTGATTCTTTTGAAATCTTCAGGAAAGCATAATGAGGGTTTTCAACATAAATCCAGTTAGAAAAAAACAACTTAAAACTTAATAGTGGTGATTAAATTTCAAAAGTCATGTAACATGGGAAAGCAACAATTTATCCACATTAATGAAAATAACTCATGAGCAATACGATGGGGAGGAACAGATTGTTACTGGTTTAAAAGGTAATTTTATTTTCAAATGGTAGAATTGATTTGGAAAGCTTTTTTAATTTAATAAATCAATAAATGAAATCGAGATTATTTTTCACTTAGGTTGTCTATAGATAATATATAGTGTTAAAGATCTGAGAGTGTGTCAAAGTGGCAAAATTAAGTGGCAAAATTAATAGGCATCTGAAAGTTTTTAATACTTTTTTCTGTAGTAGTCCTAACAGTAAATGTAATAACTCAGGTAGAACATAATTTGTATATTTTAAATATTATGTATGTTTATTTGTAATATGCAAATATGGAAATCATCTTATTGGTTAATCAAATTTGTGAAATGTTTGCAAAAAATGCTTTTATTTTCATCCATTCACACTGAAACAATGTTGAGAGAAACAGGAAAAAATGTACCCTGTATCCTCTCTCCTTCTCCATCTCTCTCCTTATTTTCCAAAAGTATCTGTTTGAGAGATAAATGACCACTCGGCTGCCGAGGATGACAGCCTACACAAAGATGATATTGAATTGATTTCAGAAATGTTGCAGAACTGACTCTTTGATGTATACCGCTAGACATGAATCATAAAAATTCTATTAAAAACCCCTTGAATGGCTGACACCAGAATATTATTTGTGATGATTAATTTGACTCAGTCATTACAATGGGAGTCAAGTTGGATCGTCTCAGACAAAATTGCTTTTCATTCCCTGTTGAATTTCCCAGCTATTTTTCTTTTCTTCCTGCTCTGTGCAGAACTCTGATCTGATTGGACTTAGAGTGTTTGCACAGCAGCTACCACATGTATCTAGCATGAGTTTTCCTTTATCAACAAGGTTGAGTGCTATGGGTTTGCATCTCAAATCAGATGTTTGGTCTTTTAGATTGGTTTTCTTCTTTAATAAAGTAGATAGAAAAACCCCTTCTTTCCAGTTGCAACATTGAGCCTTCTCAAGTATATTATGTTTAAAGAAATGTATACAGTGATTTGTTATTCAGTTTAACACCTCTGCAGTGTTGTTACCAAAAGAATGATATCATTTTAGAATGTTTGTATATAAGGATACATGTTTTATGTTTCTTTTTTATTATTTTCCAGATAAATTTGTTCATTTACGCTAACAAATAAAATAATAACAATAATTGCATATTGTCACTGATCCAGATCCTCTTAGTAAAATGATAAACCTTGGTGTTAATATCCTTTCTGAAAGCCATAGTGGGATTTTTATACTCTAATCTGCTAAATGTGCAGCTGTTAGTTAAAGGTAAAAAGGTTTGTTCTTTGGTCTAAAGCAATAAATAATATTAAATAATATTAATATATCTTTGGATGTTATTTTCACCCCATTTATCAGAAGTTATTAGGAAAACTATTAAACTTGAATACAATTTTTTCCTTTTTTTAGCACCTTTACTCACTCATAAAAAGAAAAAAAGCTCCACGTCACAATTTGGATCTTTAAAATTAAAAAAATTTAGGGTTAAGACAACAGCTATTGCTATTGTTGCCACAATAGTATATGATATATAGTGTATCAAAGGGAATATTAATGATGTCTTTAACATTGATGTATTTAAATTTCAAAACATAGACTTGTTCAGGAAAGGAACAACATCCATTTTTTACAACAGACTAACTTGCCTTTTTGTAAATAAATAGGAGAAGGGTATCAGCCAGCTTTGTAGCAGTGCACAGCAACAGGAAATGGGTTGGAGAAGAATTTCTAGTCATTCTGATAACGGAGTTAAACAGCTTTAAATGATACCAATGCAATTGATCTTTGGTTTACCTTTATAACTGTGAACATCACAGGCTTACAGTAGATTTTTCCTCTGTTGAAGCCAATTTTTTTAATATGTCAGTTTAAATGTGTAAAATGTTATCGCTGCTTCTTTCTAATTCAAATAAAAGAATAATTGCACCTGGAACTCCACATTAAATTCCAAGTGGTATAAAGAAAACAACATTTTGGTGAAAAACTTGGTCTTCACTTAAGACTCATAATTTTCTATTACATTTGACACTATTAGTAATTGTTTAAAAAACACATTTTACTTGTTCACATGGTTATTGTCTTCTTTTATTTATTTCCATGTTTATCTCTCCAATCAGAGCTACACGGGTCAGACAGGAGGCAGCGGGGGAGGAGGTGGAGGTGGCGGTACCTCCAGTGGAAACGGGACCGGAGACGAAGACTATGAGATCCCGCCGATTACTCCACCCAACCACCCCGAGCCACCTCTTCTTCACCTGATGGAGCATGACTCTACGGGCTACCTCTGTCATTCGTTGCCACACAATGGCCTCATCAACCCGTACTCCTACACTGAGCTGCCAACGCTTATGATGTCCAACATGTTGGCGCAGGAGAGCCACCTTGTCTCCAGTCAAATGCCCTCGGTGAGTAGAACTTCTTTCATATTGCATTTAAAGCTGTGCTTTGGTTGGACCAGGGGCAATGTCAGAAAACAGCATTGGTCACAGATATTTTAATTTTGAAAGACCTTTTTAACCTCAGTGCATTAAATACAAGCCTTTAAATTTGATTTGAGGTAAGATCTGAAATACACTAAGGAACAGTATAACCTTCTTTTTTAAATCAAAGAAAAATGTATACAATTTGCAACGATTGATGTTTGATTGATGTACCAAGGAATAATCCATTAAAAATATCACCACGAAAACAGATGATTTCTGCAATGAAACAGATCATATTTCAAAACAATTTATGTAATCTTAATAGCAAGTGGACTCAGGGAACATGTGATTGTTAGGGGGCTGCCTTGTCAGCTGTAATGCATAGAGAAAAGGATTGTGGGTAAATCCATCAGCATCAAATCTGCCTCGACAGCATGCATCGGTCAATCTGTCAGGCCTTCAAACATGAATACATGCTGATTACTCCCTCAGCTCCACACACAGAAAAAAAATGGCTCGTCTGCAAATTAGCATCTCTAAACCATAATTGCTTTTATGGGAACTGCTGCAAGAAGCAGGTTTCTATCAGAACAACACAACCATCTGTATAAGGTTTAAGTATGAATCTTACACACATGCTGCTGCTTTTATTTATATTTTGTAGAAGCAGCCTTAAATGTATGATTTATTGTTGAATTTGGTGGCGAGTTTGAAGTTTAAGTTATTCAGATTATTCCTTTGTTCCCTACTGTGCAGCAAACATGTAAGAATGGAACAGAAAATTGTTCCTTTTAACTTTGACAGAGTCATATCTGAATGCATCCGTTTGGAGGGGGAAGGGATTTATGGGGTTTTATTGATTGCAGCCCTGAGATCCAACTGAAACAAATTATATGCAAACAAACATAACATGAGAAAGACTGTTTTTTATTAAGAGATTGAAGGTCAAACTTTTCATGCCCTCCTAATTTCCTAGACACTGACAGAAATATCACACAATGGCACAGGAATAGTTATATTTGGCAACTGAGATTTCTTTTAATAATCTTTTCCAAAAAACATTTTTGATTATAGCTATTTCTCATTGCTCTTAATAATTAAAAATAACAATTGTTCCTTGTGTATTTTGGAAATTATTTAAGCTGATAGAATATCTGTTTTATAGAGAATACTGTATATATACAGAGGTATATCAAGGTCAAGTATGATGTATCGTGTTCATCACAAACAGAGGAGAAGAGTAAACAACAGCTGAAATAGATCTTGCTAAAGATCTGAAATACAAATATGTTATGCATTATATATAATGCAGAAATATTCCCCCAAGGTATTAGCTTCACATGTCATCTATCTTTATATTCATTTCACATTTTGGACATGACCTTTATTGTGGAGACATTGGTTGATTGGCCAGTCTTTCACTCCCCCATCAGAGTGTTTGTTTGTAGTAGAAAACGACTCTAGTTTTGATGGAGCTGAATACAATGGACTGCATGATAAAAATGTAGGAGTGTCTCGAAATGCAGTAAACGCAACACACCAAACATGAACTTGTACAAATTGGAACAAATAATTGCCAGTTGCTATTATTTTTTTTTTTCTTCTTGTGATTTTTGCATTGATAATAATGGTTCATTTCAAGAGTACTTTAAAGATTGGTCTGTGCATGATGTACACTATTAAATTATTTCTTTTTTCAGGCCCCTTTACTCTGATAGGCCCAAATAGAATTCAGAGTATCTGATGGTGTTAACAGTTTTATCTCAGTATGAATTTGAGGTCTTCTGAAAGTCTTCCTATAATGGCATGCTGAAGAAACATCATCATAAACAAAATAAGACATCAGAAAAGTTAGGGATAAAGGTGGTAGTATGTTTATATCCCTTTTAGATTATAATACCAGATCCAAAGTTTGGAAATCTCCCAAAACTCTGCTCTGTTAGTTGTTTAAATTATGAAATCTGCCATTCCTGCAAACTACATTGAGTTTGCTAAAACTTAGACTGGACAAAAGCAATGCATAGAGGTGGTAACATTATGCTGTGGTGAGGACAAGACAGCTCATCGGAATTGATTGGAAGATGTGTAGTTTAATATGCTAGCATGTCCCATTCCCTAAATCTGACTCAAAATCTGAAAGTCATTGTTTCATGCTGAGTGAATCTGAGCTGTTTTCCAAAAAAATAAACGACAACAAAAACAAAAAAGACACTGTTTAAACATTTCTATCTATCTATCTATCTATCTATCTATCTATCTATCTATCTATCTATCTATCTATCTATCTATCTATCTATCTATCTATCTATCTAT